TACTGAGACTAAGCAGTAAGCTTTTTAGTAGAGTATAAGAAAGACAGGTGAAAAGGAAACAGAACAAGAGTGACTATATTATATACCAGAGGAATATGGGTTAGATGAACCGATCATCTGTTTTTGTAACTAATTCAACAGTTTGTTCAGCTAACCAATTAATATTGTTAACTGCTAATAAGCCTCGCATTTACAGGTCCGGAAGGCGGAAACACCAGAAACTTCGAATGATGCAAAAAGGCATGACAATCTTGCTATCATTGGGCTGGCTCTCACCATTCTTGGTACGATTACAAGCTCCTTACCAGTGGTAATATTATCAAAAGTACTATGATAACTTCAAGATCTGCTTCTGTAATCATAACTGCATCCACTGAAGGAGAGTGTATGGAAGCTGGTTGTTGGTGCATGCTGTACTCCACAACTGCCTGCTTTTAACCATTAACAAGCAAAAAACACGAGGGAAAAGATGTGGTTCATTATTCATATACGCAAGGGGGAGAAATTGGTAATTAGTTCTATTTGGAAACAAGGATCTATTCTCAGACAATATATAATGTTGGATATATCTTGGTCCTTTTTTCTGACAAACCAATGTCAATTCATTCATATCCTAAAACTGACTAACAAAAACAAATGTGCTCGAGAAAACAAATAAAAGTACTGTGCTTATAGTATGACCTTCATTGTTATCAACTTCATTCCCCGCATTTCATGTAGAGGGATACAGGCCCAACGCAAAACATGACAAGGAAAAAAAAACATGCATTTCTAAGAAAGTTTCATAATCTGAATGTGATAAAAAATAACACATACCTTCCATTGTAAGGAGGAAAGCAAAACTCGAGGCCTTCGAGACTGAACATATTCAAGGGCACCAACAGCTGTCATCTGCTTATGCTCTACCTGCCAGAGTTTTAAACAAATTCAACCATTAAAATAAAAAATAAATCAGAATATAGCCTCAAAGGTCACTGAACAACGGTGTTTCAACTTTCAACAAGCACCATGCAGATTTACCAAGTAGCAAAGCACAATGGTGGTACTCCTTCCTCGTCCTGCTTTACAGTGCACATAAGTGTTCTGCCACAAGAAGCATTCTCTGTAGCCAAAATAGGGGTTACAAAATCGGGTGAGACAATACGACCGATGAACCCAGTGACTAACTCAAGAAGTTTAAAGAATTATCTTCTATTAATGAAGTCTATAGCTCTGCTAATATCTGAAACTGAAGGAGCAAATAAATAGTCTCTGGTTGGAATTACCAGGTGATCAATTCCGTAAGCCTGTCAAAAAACCATAAAGCAATAAAAGTAAAGATTGAAACCCAAAATAAGCTATTTCCAAAAATCCATTCACCTCAAATTATAATTTAAAAAATGGAGATCATCAGAGGTTAGACTCTAACTGTTAAACCATCAATTTAAATTTTTTAAAATTTGGGTCTGGGTCTAGTTTGCTTGATTTTGGAATTCATAGGGATCTAGGAAGTATTTAAACTGAAAAACATGGCAGGTTAGGACTTAATTTGCCTAGTTTCAAAATTATGAGAACCTAAAAAAACAATTGAATCCCGAAAATTTTGGGGGGGGGGACCTTAGCTTATCTAGTTTCAAAACTAAGGGGACTAAAAATGCAATTGGACCCAAAATGTCCTAGCTACCTATAGTTCTGTCCCTGAGATCATTTTCAATTTCCATCTCGATTCATAGTAGAGATATATGATCAATAACATAAACTGAAGTGGGAATTCTTATTCAATTAAACATCTGAAAATTTGGAACAAAGAAAAGGCATACCAGATATAAAGAAGTGGAAATTCAAAAGGCTCATTGAGAGTGATGACCCCGCCAACGCCCAACTGCTTCAGCCGTCGAACATCCCTTCGAAATGGAACTGCCCCCAGCAAAAGAAACTGAATTAAAAGTAAAAGAGAGAAAAAAACACCGGTCGTCAGCAAAACAGAGGATAATCAAAGAAAGTCAATAATCCGAGAGTTACTGATTTGCGATGAGTTTAACGATAAGATAAAAAAGAGAAACCTGGTCAACTTCGTCCCACCATCTGAATTCGGTTTGGATTTTGTTTCGGAAGACAAGTACAAAAGATTCGGGTAGAAAAGGATCCGAGCACCCGCTCCAACTAGAACGCGCTTCTCATCGTCGACTCTAACTATCTGCAACTGCTTCGCGCCGTAATCGCCGCCTTTTTTCCGATTATTCTCCACGTCATCCGAATCCTCACGACAAAAACGGCAACTTGAATTTGTTTGGTTTTCTTTAGATGGAATTGAAATTGGCCAAACTTGAAGAAATCAGAAATAATTTGAAGCAACTGAGAGATGATAACATGAAATTAAAAAGAAAAAAATGGAACATCGAAAGGAACGATAATTTTAAGAAAAATACGAGAGAGTGTGTATAATAAAAAAGAAACGGTAACTATTTGAATAAGCTGTTGAACTCTATCATTTTATATGAATAAGTATTTGAACTTTATCATTTTATTTAAATAAACCCTTGCACATTTTATTGATAATTTCAAATGTTAAATATACTTTGGGTGAAGTACACAAATAGTCTCCCAATTATAGCCTACTATTTTGTTCAGTCACTCGACTATTAAAAGTCATAAAGTAGTCCTCTGACTATAGGTGTTGCTTTATTGAGTCTCTCGACTATTAAAAGTTATAAAATGGTCAACCGATTATTTATATATTCCAAACTCGTCATTTTCCGATAAAAAGATTGGCAGTAGTCTGAGTTGGACTTTAACTTATCGAATAAGATACGATAAAATTTGATCCCAAAATCTCAAATGACTATCATAACTAAGTCAAACTATTAACGTCCAGTTCAGACAATCGTCAATTTTTTAATGAAAATTGACGAGCTTGAAACATATAAATAATTTAATGATTATTTTGTAGTTTTTAATAATTGAGAGACTCGACAAAGTATTATCTTATAATGAGGGACATTTTTTACTCTACCCATATATTTTTAACTAATAATATTCGTTAATTATATTAAAAAATATGACATATAATAAAATTACAAGAAGAATCTACATAAAATTAAGGTAGACTCGCATTACCAGTTTATTTCCTCATAGGACGAGGGATGGATCAAAGAGGTGCAATCGCACCTTTTTAGAAATTTTAGATTTTTTTATATTATATATATATATTTTATTTTTTTATTGATTGTTTAACTTTACACTCCTATATCTTTTTATCTTTACGTTCTTAAAATTTTTAATATAAATTTTTAAATTCACACTTTTACGTAAAATTTTATGCCAATCTCTATCTAGTACATTAATATAACCTTTTTTGTGAAGAACTACTTTTACACTATAAAATGATTATCTATATCATTTTCCTATTTAAACATAATAAAATATTAAATTTTATATTAATATTTAAATATAAATAAAAAATATACAATTTAAATTATTTAAATTGTATTTGGATCGACCATTAGACTAAAGAATCTTGTCTTTATCCGTCCAAATTGGGTTGGGTCAGGTGGGTCATTTGGCCCATGAAAAAAGCCTTTGTATTCATAACACATTTTGTTTGTTAAAAACATCATTATATAAAATTCATGATCTCTCTAATTCACATTTATGTTCCCAATAAATGTTGAGTGTAGTTGCAAGATACATTATGTTTTTTTTAAATAATGTTTAAATTTTAGAGACAATATAAACCCATCAAATGATCTAGTGGTAGAAAATAATATTTTTTTCTTTAAAAATTCTGAGTTTGAACAATTATATTTGTATAATATATGTATTATCAAATTTTAAACAGATACTATTCATTCATCAGGCTCGCATAATTCTAAAATTAATCATGGAAATCTGCCATCACAGATGACCCATTGGGGATTTTGAAGACTTGGGTTGGTACAGGTGTGTGCTTATAAAGGGGTGTTCTGTGCCGGTTCTCAAGGTGCAATGGCTCCATTTGTGGCAGCCATAGATCTCAACCATGCAAATCTGAAAGGCATTCTGGTCAAAGAACTGTCTTTGCTTACAGATATTTCTATCCTTCACCTTAACAGCAACAGTTTCTCGGGCACAATCCCTGAAACTTTCAATAATATTTCATCACTTCAAGAGTTAGATCTCAGCAATAACCTTTTCTCAGGTCCTTTTCCTACTGTTGTTTTATACATTCCAAATCTTGTTTATTTAGACCTTAGGTTCAACAGCTTCTCAGGACTGATCCCTGAAGAACTGTTCAACAAAAGACTTGATGCAATCTTCCTGAACAACAACCAGTTTGAAAGTGAACTCCCTCAAAATCTGGGTAATTCACCAGCCTCTGTTATAAACTTAGCCAACAACTTCAGTGGGAACATCCCTGTGAGTTTTGGCTTAGCCAGTTCTAAATTGAAGGAGATTTTGCTGCTTAACAACCAGTTAACAGGTTGCATTCCAGAAGGTGTTGGGTTGTTCTCAGAGATGCAAGTTTTTGATGTGAGCCGCAACTCGCTGATGGGTCATTTGCCGGACACGGTATCTTGTTTAAGTGACATTGAGGTTCTCAATTTGGCACACAACAAACTATCTGGCGAACTACCTGATTTGGTTTGTTCGTTAAGGAGCCTTATGAATTTGACCGTTGCATACAATTTCTTCTCCGGGTTTAGCCAGGAGTGTCACAAGCTGCTCTTTAGGAATTCCGGGTTCGATTTCTCGCTTAATTGCATACCCGGGAGAGACATGCAGAGACCACAACCGGAGTGCTCGATGATCCCTGGAGGAGGGTTGTCTCAGAATTCCCTCTGCACATCCTCTGGTTTGCGGAGCATTGCTTGGGAACTTGGCGGTTAATGTAAACTCAACATCCCCATAATCTCATTATAGTGGAAATTACTGTTTTTTTTATCAACAGGTTGGCAATATGGTGGTCAATTTTCCCACTCATTAATAGCATTTTTAATCTAAATTGAGACTAATCAAAGATTTTCGAGTAAAGTGGGACAGAATTGCTAAATAAGCTAGTCATTAAATTTGCACATCAGGATGTGGGTTACAACAATAAGTTGCAGGCAATTGCCATTTCTACATTTGTTTATGGTATGTAATACATTGGATTTGGCAATTTAAAGGAACGTTTTGCCATTGCAAAACCCAGCAAGTCACTCCATTGATCTCCAGTACTCCCTTGAATCCTGTAACCTCCATTTACTAGAACCGATCTCCTCTCTGATTTGTATACGGTCGCTGGTATCCCTTTATCTGAAGCTCCTCTGTATCATAACCAAAATTCCAACCCATTATCATGTTTTCAACAAGTATTGTCATTTAAAACCAGTACTGAGGAAATGTTTGCTTTAAAGCTTAACATACCTCAAGATAAGCCCTTCCCACCCGGTATAGCCAGCGAGCTCAAGATTCTTGCTGGTGTCCTGCCTCTGATGTTCACTCCGGCCAGTAAGCACAAATATTTTGAACCCCATCTGCTTCAATGCATTATACAAGTTCAAACTTGATGGAATAGCTGGGGCCTTGGCTAATGCCACCCATTTATCCCAACAGCTCTCATTGAAGATTTCTGATCTACATTCATCACAAGATAGCCTCAGCAACTTCAATGAGTGAAAGGAACAAGCATCTAAAATTTAAGACAACGCACAAAGATTAAATAATCCCTTTCCATTTGAAATACACAAATAAACATGATCCGCCCTAAATTTTTTGCGCAATCAAAGGCCGATTATTAGCAATAGACAAACAAAACAAGCAACTAGGACCGTAGAACATGCATGTTCTTCATCCAAGGTCAAAACTCAACCGAGTCTGATGAATCATTTTCGAAAGCACCCAACAGAGTTTAATTGTCAGTAGGCAAAACTACTACTGCAATTGCTTGCTTATTTCAATGTCAGATGGACATTTCCAGAGAATGTTTGATGTTTAAGCATCACAAAAATCTTTCTAACCATGGTTTTGTTTTGTTTAACCCGAAGTAAAATCCTAGGGATCTAAACAAACATTAACAATAAGAAATTTTAGAATAACAACATTATATCCCATTCCGGGATAGGATCCGCTTGTACGATAAAAAACTCATTAACGATATAAAACTCATTAATTTTTTAGGAAAATATAACTATTTCATGAATTTAAATAAATAACAAAATTAAAACTTTATTGTTCCATTTTTTGTAAAACTGATGATTATTATAAAGTGTAAGCGAACCGAACCGATTCCTGAATCAAATTCCCAAAATATCACATAATCCCGCCGCAAAGAGGGGATTTTTGGATTTTACCTGGTTAAGTGATGTATCAAGAATCTTTTGATCACTATAATCAATCTATATTAAGATATATTTTATTTCCTTAAATATCAATATTAAAAGGCAATGAGCACATATAAAAAGTTATCTCCCGAAAAAGAAACAGAGGGCATATAGAATTAGTTATAGACTCCTCATAATCTGAGTTTTTCAATACCATAAACGCGACCAAAAAGCAAAAGAAAGTGCATCTATTTCGAATCTTATCTGACACGTGGGGTTAAAAAAAGGAAAGGGTAGATGTACATACCCGAAGCCGTGTTCCATATAGTAGCGCAAATTGGTCAACAACGCCTCGTCGATGTCGAAGATCCATGCGTCCTTCCCATCGGGATCTATCTGGACGGTGGAGGCAAAAGCGAGGGAGAAATTAGCGACGACCTCGCAGTCGGAATCGTAGCGTTTACCGGTCATGTAATATTTGACGTAGGAGTAGCAACGGGAGGGGATTTGGGTCCAAACCCCGGCGTTATTGGTCTCGGCGGCTAAATGCCAGCTTGCACAGTAAAGGCTGTCGTCGTCACTGTGGGATCGGCTGTCGACTGTCATTGTTCTTGTCGTCGGGAATCGGATAATGGGGTCGTAAGTAGCCGAGGAATTGATAACGGAGCCGATGAGGAGGACGAGGAATACGGAGGTTAGGGGCCGAGAAGATCGGCAGTGGGGGGGGGGAATTCGGTAATTCGAGAGGGAGAGTTTATTCTTTTATTATTCGATCTCTCCCGTGGAGTGCCTAATGGTCTGAAGATTAGACCAGGCTGTCCTAAAATTTATATCATGAACATCAATCGTTGTTGTAAACTGTGAAACGGTGTCGTTTTGGAGTTCTGTTTAATTAGCCATACATTTCGTTTTCCTTTATTAGATTGTTCTGGTTTTATTGGTGTGACGACCCCATTGCTGTCGGAGCGGTATCACTGTTTCAACCCATCATTTTTCGTTCCTTTCGAGACAGTTTTTTTGGGGTAAACTCTATCAATGATTCCTGAATTTTTATATTTTAGCATTTAACCATTCATCTTTTAAAATTTATAATACAATCATTGTATTTTTAATTCACTTTATTATGGTCATTTTTGTAATGTTGTCCGTAGGTTGTAAATGAGACGAGACAGATCGCGTGCTATTCGAAATCAATTCGGTCAAAGTTCGATCAACTCTTGAATCGTTTAGACTCGACTCGAGCTTGAACTTGACTCACATTTTTGATGAGTCGAAGCGAGTTACTTGATATTTGACTTGAAAAGTAATATATTAAAATTTTAATTTTTAAAATTAAATTATTATTAATATTAACATTTATATGTACTTAAAGTTTAAGTTTGAGCTTCAATCGAGATAAGCATAGGAATATTTCGAGTTCAAATTATTTCGAGCTTGAAAATTTTAAGCTCACGAATTTTCCAGTTGATTCGAGCTTCACTTTTTTATTTCGAGTTCAAGTTGAGCTTAACAATTTTAAATTCATAAGTTTTCGAGTCGAGCTCAATTTTACACTTTTTGAATCAAGTCGAGCTCAACTCAACTCGTTAATTGTCAGTTGTCATTACGAAATACTGACATGGTACGTTGAAGTTATTTTCTTCCCTCCAAAAATCTTAAGTTTATCAAACTTGTCTTGTTCTAAATTGACAGTCGTAGCTCCTCCTTTCGTCATCATTTCTAATGTCGTTTGGTGGTTTTTGAGGTCGATAATATAATTGAACTACACATCTTCCACCCCTTTTTTTTCGATTAAAAAATATTAAAAACCTTTCAATTTTCAAAAAATTTCAATCGAAACTAAAAATTAAAAACTTTTTGATCCATCACTGTCAACAATCAAATCATCTTGAAACTGAACTATATTAATCTTCTGGCCGAACATGAGTATTCTCATAGTTGGGATTGTCCGTTCATTGAAAACTTAGAATATTGAAAGAGATAATTTTTCTTTTCTCTTCTCTTTTTCTGTACTTTTTTTTGTTATTGTTTATTATATGCTTGCAGTCAGTGATCAAATGGGATTGGTGATGGTGAATCGAGTTTTTGTTGGTCTGATTATGAATGGTGATAATGGCGTTTGAAACTTGGATAAAATTATGGTGAAAAATAGTTTGATGATCATAAGAAAACGATGAAGCTCTTCAGTATAGTGAACGGTGTATTTAGTGACGATGATAATCAGAAGAATATTAGATGATGACATTGTATATGAATAGAGATCTGCGATAATCAATTTGAAGAAAGACTTGAGGGTTTCTTAAAAGAAGAATATTTTAATGTGTTCAAACTTATTAACCATAAACCGTGGAAACACTATAATTTAAACCGATTATTGGTTAATATATTTTTGTTATTCGACCCTGACTTGCATATTACTTGCTTGTTAGTTATGTTGTGTATTAGTTATGTCATGAAATTTAGTATGCTTTAAGTTTAGCCCTTCATGAGTTTAGTTGTGTATTACTGTACTTGGAGGAAAATTCGTCGTTTGGTTTCATGTACGGGTTCATGGGGAGTTGTATTGTACGACAGTGTTAATATATAACTAAGAAAATACGTTATTGGTTTTATTATTATTTTTAATATTTTCGATAAAAAAATTACTTAAAACATTATTATTTCTATCAGTTTTGTTATTATTGGCCGCTTTACCAGTTTTAGTAAAACCGGTAGAAAAAAAAATGTTTTAGGTAGCGCTTTACCAGATATGTTACCAAAACCGGTAAAGCGCCTAATAATAATAAAATCGGTAGAAATAATAATGTTTTAGGTAATTTTTTATTGATTTTGTTAAAAAAAATAATAACAGAACCAATAACGTCTTTCCTTAACCGTATATTAAGACCGCTGCACATAAGACTTTCCCATCAAAACTATCGATGATCTTAATAATAATTAAACATAGCGCTCTTGATTTAATAATTTTTATCAAATAAAAATGTATTATATTTCTGAGTTATATATATATAAAAAAACAATGAACGATGTTAATTAAAGCTCAGTTCATAATACATATAATTAAAAGAAAATAATGTAATTTTTTTATAATCACCGGTTCTCGATCTATTGATCAACTAATTCGGGGATCGAGTATTGCAGAAGCAATGTCGACCCTTCCAACCCAGTTTGCTCTATTAACTAATGTTTTACGTCGATAAAAGATATATAAAAATTTAAATTTGTCATAATTATAAAATGGATGATATTATGTAACTCAATTAGGGATGACAATAAATTGAGTCGAGTTTAATTTTTGGCCCATTCAAATTCAATATAAAAATTGATGTCTTCTGTCTATATTTGATCCAATCCGAGTTTAAGATCGTCTCATCCGACTCAAAATTTGACTTAATTTTTAGATTAAAATACACACTTAAATTATATATATAATTTATTTTCATTAGGTGTAATAAGGACTTAATTGAAAAAATAAAATAGAAAGGGTATTATTACAACTTTTCTTAGATATATAAAGGATAACTATAATATTATACTGGGTTAGATTGAATTTTTATCCTAAACACGAATCTGACCTAATCGCACTATAAAAATATTGACCCGACACAATTCAAATCTAAAATTTTTAAAATAAAAAACCAACTCAACCAAATTAGTTCAGATTCGAAAGAAAAAAAATCATCTAAACTAGACTTTCCTCCTGAGTTGGTCATTTATGAGCTATCATCTCCACCCCCGGCTTGGTGGAACTGCTTCATCCAGACTCATGTGGCCCCTTCACATTCGGTTAGGGAGTGTCTAACGTATTGGCTTTAGACTCATTTATTTTCTAATAAAAAAAAAAGAAAAAAGAAGATGGTCCAATTACTTGGACAAATGATGCAACTGGACAATAAGAATTGTCAAATTATAGTTAAAATATAATATTTTAAAAAATTAAGTTTTTTTTACATTAATTACGTTTTAAAAAATAAAATAATTAAATTAAAATATTAAATTTAATAAGGGTTTGGAGTTGTAGATGTGCTGAAATAAAGGGGGACGTGAATGGTAGTAACGAAATGAAGCAAAAGGCATGGCTCACAACTCATCAAAACTTGTTCAAATCCCTTGTTCCTTTCCTTGTTTATCGTCCCCAATGCCATTTCACACTCCCCATAAACAACATAAAAGAGAGCCCCCCACACCATCTCTTAGTAAATCAAAACTCATATAACAAGAAAGGAAGAAAAAAAGAAAACATGTCGTGGCAAACTTACGTAGATGAGCACTTGATGTGTGACATCGAGGGCCAAAACCAGCACCTTACTGCCGCTGCTATCATCGGCCATGACGGCAGTGTCTGGGCCAAGAGCGACAAGTTCCCGGACGTACTCATCATATTCATAATAACCCTTTTTTCTTTTTATTTCTTTTTCTGATCTGATCTGATTCCATTGTTACTTGTAGTTGAAGGGTAATGAGATAAGTGACATCATGAAAGACTTCGACTCACCGGGCCACCTTGCCCCGACCGGCTTACACCTCAGCGGCGTAAAGTATATGGTGATCCAGGGTGAGCCCGGTGCTGTTATCCGTGGCAAAAAGGTAATGTTTGTCGCTTCAATTATGACTTCGTGGTAATATACAGGAATGAACGTAAAATTTTAAAAGGGTATTTGTACTTGTTGGTCCCTCGGTCCATCCCGATTGGTGTGGTGCAGGGATCGGGAGGGATCACGATCAAGAAAACGGCACAGGCGCTTATATTCGGGATATATGATGAACCAGTGACTCCAGGACAATGCAACCTTATTGTGGAGAGGCTGGGTGATTATCTTGCTGATCAGGGCCTGTAGCGGACCTACCCAATCAATTTTTCTTTTCCTCGCTTATTAAGTTTTGGGTTCTAAGTAATTTGCATCTTCTCCCATTAATAATCCAAATTTTCAATCTAAAATTCCACAATAACTTTTATTTTTACTTATTTTTGGTCTGTTAAACGATCTATTATTAGTCTATAATATAGATAATTATTGTTATTAAATAAGTTCATCGTTACTCAATCGTTAATTGACATTAATTATATAAATGTCACATCATCTAAAACATGACACGATGAGAAATATTACCTAGAGATTGATTAATATATAAGAAACATTTAAGAAATTAAAAAATAAATGACATAACATCTCAATATTTATTGTGAAATTGTTTTTTAATGACATGGCATCAATCATCAAACAACAACTGTAATATTAATTACCATTTAAGGTAAAATTATTTTAATATTTTTTAGTTGAGTTGATTTCGAATTAAGTTATGATATTAATTCAGTCAACTATTTTATATAGTATAGATTCGTCTTGATTTCAGTTGAAAATATTATATTAAAAATTAGATTTATATAAAAAAAATTGATCTTATCAAATTAAAAATAAATAAGTCTATAGATTAAATGTTGTCTCAATTGAACCCTTATTTGAAAATTTAGATTAAATAAATTTCTGAAATTGAAAAGATATTTCAATTGAACAATTATTTAAATATTTTATAATTAAATAAAATTTATCATCATCCCCCATAATAAACACCATTTATTTGAAAATATTTGATTTTAACAGTGTAAAATTTCTCAAAACTGGAGGTGCTAAATTGGTTAATTTGGTCACTGATAGAATCAAGTTAGTTAAAATCAATTTAATCAAACTGTTTCCCTTTATTAAAATTTGATTGGATCTTGAACTTTTAGCGGGTATGGTATGATTAAAATTTGATTAGATCTTGAAATTTTAATGCGTATAATATGATTAAAAATTGTAAGGTCTTAATTTTTAAAGGTTAAAAGAAATCTGTCGAGTCTGCTTGCCGAAACGACGGATCCTCCTCTAAACCATGTGAAAGTGCTGCCCGTTATTTTAGTTAAAAATTGTTAATCGATCTACCATCTAATTAGCCAATCTATTAAACAAACTAAAATTCAATTTACCAATTATTTTAGTTAAAAACGAACAATAAACCTCTTTACTCAAAAGTATTGAACAGTGAAAACATGAAAAATCTCTAATCTTCGCGATGTATAACCTCTTAAAGTGCGTTTGGTTCACGGGATGTAAGATTATCAGTGGGAATAAAAGATTACCAGAGAATAGGATTACTGAGAATGTTGTATTTTGTGTTTGGTTTGTTCAGCATAAATGTAAGATTACCGTGTTTGGTTAAAAGAATAAAAGATTATTGGAACGTATATTTTACCAAATTATCCTTATTTTATATTTGTTTTTTTAACAAGTTGAATTCTACTATAATATTACTATAATTAATTTATATATTTTCTTTAAAAAATTTAAATTCATAAAAAATTTATAATTTTTTTACAAAATTAAAAAGATAAATAAGTTTAATGAAAGGGTAAAATTTTATTTTAACCCCTGAACTTCATATAAAATTTTAATTATAGATTTTTTTTAAATCTAAAATTGTTTAAGGATAAATTTGTTGGATAAACTTCGTAGACTTTTTATTATTCAATGACAGAAGAATGATATTTTTGAAGAATTTTTTTTAAGGACATTTTAGTTCAAAACACTGGTAATCTAACAATACCTAAAGGAAGTGGGATACTCACATTCCTGGTAACATACCCAAAAAAATTCACTGTTGGTAATAAAAGATTATCGAAAATAAGATTACTAGCCAATCAAATAAGAGAATGAGGATTTTATTCTCCTAGTAATATCTTATGTCGTGAACCAAACAGCCCGTTAAAGCTTTGTAAAGCCAAATTTATCATCTTCGAAACTAAAACCTTACATTCTCCTAAATTCACCATCGAAAAGCTCCCACAAGTATCCATGGTATGCTATCTTGGTTCAAAGGTGATTTGAAATCTCAAACCCAAATCATACTCATGTCCAACAAGGCTCTAAAACTCTTTAATTAATTGAATGCGTTAATAATAAAGATAAAATGTATTATTATATAAATTTATGTAATTATTAATTAACCATATAACTTGATCGAAATCAACTGAATAGTTTAATGACATAATTGATAAAAGAAATTATTTGATAATCAAAAAAGAATTGATGATATAGTTTAATGACTTCGGGATAGTTTAGCCAAAAAGGAATTGTATGTGGCTCAAATCCGAAACAGGTAAGAAAAATGAAGAAAAGGAATATAGCAGATCTCGTTGTACCTACGCTATATCTTGGCGTCTCTCCCTCATATCAGCTCTGCATTGTTGTTGTCCCTTCAGTCAAAACACTTTCTCAGTTCCTTATTTAATTTTGCAAAGCTCTCAAGCTCTAAAAGAAGAAATCAAGGGAAGCTTAAGAAGAAGAAGAAGATGTCGTGGCAAGCTTATGTCGATGATCACTTGTTGTGTGATATTGAAGGCAACCATCTAATTTCCGCTGCTATCATTGGCCAAGACGGCAGCGTTTGGGCCCAGAGCTCCAATTTCCCCCAGGTTTTTCTTCTTTTGTAAATCTTCCATTCTTTTTGTTTTTGGGTTTGGTTTCTCAAAGAAAAAGGTGGATCTGGTTGCCATGGTTGATTTCTCGTTGCATGATATATTAGTTGATCTGATTTGTTCCGAAAGGAATGCTGTTTTTTTGCTCTTCAATGAAACTATTTTTTTCCAAGTTCAAGTTGATTTTTTTGGGCTATGATTTAGTAGTTAATGTTGCTCGAGGTGTTGAAAGATTTGATTTTCATGCACGGGAAACATGTATGATTTCTGGGTTTGTTTCTGTTTGTTTAGATTTCTTCGTTTTATAAGCATTAAGCATTGTTTAAATCATTTGAAGTCCACTTCTCCAAATGGATCTCTGCAGCTGACCATAGGGTGCTGAAAAGCTCTGTAACTTTTGGAGAGAAAAAATCAATTAAATTCATTCATTTTTATCGAATTAAGTTTTTATACTTTGAAATTTCATGAATTCAACTCTTTATTCGAATTAAGTGTTAACAGCTAAAATTGATCAAATGTTCAATTTATTCAATCTTTTCAATTTGAGAACTTAATTGATGTAATTTCTTGATTTGAGAGTTTAATTAGATGAAAAAAAGTTAAAAGATTTAATATATTTTTCTCTCTGAAAAGTTTGAGAGTTTCATGCACTCCAGTATATTCCATTCTAATGCAAAAATTTCAGGCTTTTAGACAGTAGAATGTGATGTTTATTTCCTTTTTCTTTTTCATCATCAACCTGTGCTTATTGCTTCTTGGTCTTATGTTTATTCAGTTGAAGCAAGAGGAAATCACTGGCATCATGAATGACTTCAATGAACCTGGATCACTTGCCCCAACTGGATTGTACATTGGTGGCACTAAATACATGGTGATCCAAGGTGAACCCGGAGCCGTTATTCGAGGGAAGAAGGTGACGTTCTCCCTCGGTTCTTAGTTTCGCTGCGCTTGTGACACTAACATATCTCATGAGCACATTCATTCTTTTTCCATATTGATCAATGCAGATAGATTTGTCATTTATGCATTTAGATCCGAGTCTAGTTTCTGGTTCAACCTTTTCATAAAATTTTGCATTGATGCTGTGCTCTTGTATTTATTCTGTATGCATCTGCTTTTGCTCTTGCTACTCTGTACGCAGCTCTTGTCTTGTGCCTCCATGCATTTGAGATTCCTTAGGGAGCGAGTGTACTTGAGACTACCAGACGAAAAAAAGGGAAGGGCATCAAGAGATATACATACGGCTGTTTCCGCATAACTTTCTAGTCGGTATCTCATACACTCGTTCGTGTCACGGTTGTATTCTGAGCATTTGCCATTTTAATTTCAGGGACCGGGAGGTGTTACCGTTAAGAAGACCAGTCTGGCCTTGATCATTGGAATATATGATGAGCCAATGACACCCGGGCAGTGCAACATGGTTGTCGAAAGGCTAGGCGATTATCTCATCGAGCAGGGTCTTTAATCTCTTTGGTGTGCCCTTATTTGTTGGTTTCTATACAAAAGTGCACCTGCCACCCATATAGTAATGGTTTGAGTGCAGATAAATAATAGTATTTTCAAGTCATGGGAACCTTTTTCCAGTTATGGAATGGTTGGTGTTTGTAATAGTTATGCTTATCATCTCTTGCTTTGTCGATGTACTCGTTTCATGAATGGTATTATCGAAGAATGTCCGAGCGAAATACTTTGTCTATGTTTACAGCGTTTCTAATGGGTTCGTTTAATACATTCTCATTTTACAGTAAAAAACTAGAGGCAGCAGCAAGTTCTTCCCCACCCCAAATTGCTTAAATACCTTCATATCCATGCTGGACTCTCCTTAAACTGTCTCGAAAATTATGCATCGAACACATTGTCCAGGTTTAAAACGAATGAGATTAGTTTCATCAGAAAGTATTAGCAATGGCAGTTGTATTACACGTCAAGCTCTTTGCCGGGTTTGGCCGGAGTGTTGTATTACCAAGTCTGGGCATTGTCGGGAGTAGTAGCCCTCTCTTTCAGCAAACCTTTGGAAGGGCATCCAGTTTCAGTGACCTTGACCAGGATTGTTTCATGTGCCCATATAACGTTTGATCCTCAAAGGCTTGTTTCATGTGATTGGACCATGATTGTGTGTAGTCTAAAAAGGGTGTATATTGTACTTTACTATATGTATATATATATTAAAGCCAACCCATTTGCATAGGCATTTGAGATTCGATGAAAAAATGAGAGGTCTTATCCAATGAATTATATAGCCCATACTTGAGTTTTGTATTGCATCTTCATGTGGCAACCAAAATCTCTTGTAATTTACACATTTGTTGTGTTTTGTGACACATTCATGTGGTACCTTTTTTGGTTGGTTTTCATCTCATCTCTTGAATGCATTCTATATGGTTTTATTAGGATGGAGTGGAGCACGTTGGGGACGTATGTTGTTCAATTGATAATTGTTTTCTACTTCACATGCTATATTCCATCGTCTACTTCAATACACACGGAGATGAAAGGACTCTCATTTCTCACAAAACTTTTGGTATAATACCATTTTAATTCTTTATAAGTTTTAGTAAAATTAAATTTTTACAAATTTTGGTTCAACCTTAATTTTATAAGATCGTATTTCTTTTAAAATTTATATTCAAGTCCGATCGGATTAGGTTTTTAAAGGTTAAGGTTGGGTCAAGTTTGAGTTGAAAAAATCTTATGCTCGAGATAATAATATAAGTATTACGTATATATCTAAAGATAATTACAATAATATTTATTTTTATATATTTTTTAAAATTAAGTCTATATTTTACTAAATAAAAAATGATTTATATGTATATTAAATAATATAATAATATAATTATTCTTTAATTTTTTTAATCATATCAATTTTTAAAATTGATAATTTTTTTAAACTTAAATCAAATAATAAAAATTATTTAAATTAAATTCAAATAAATTAAAAACTCGCCACAACCTAACAAGCGGCGATCTATAATTGAGATCAGAGTAAGGTATGGCATTAAAGGGATAGGAATGCAAAGCTATGGATTTCTACAACAAAATCATCACGTGGCTGCCTGCTATCAGTTACACTACAAATGGCTACTTCCCATCAACATATTTCTTCCCAAGTCAACCATCTTGTCCATTAATTTCCTAACCAAACTCATATGATGTCATCAATTCTAAGGGTAATTTACATTTAGATCACTGATTTTATTTTTAATTTTCATTTAAATTAGAATTCCTTAATTTAATTAAATTTTATAATTGATAAACTAAATCATTTATACTAGCATCATTACATAATTGTAACAAATAAATTAAAACTGATACTTTTATTGAACATATTTTCTACAGAATTATTTAAAATTTCAGTTAAATATTATTTAATGATGAAATTTTTGGTTTGATTTTTTTAACTAAAATTATTTACGCGAATGATAAAATTTGACCATACAGAATACACTGATCGTTTTGCTTTTTTGACCATACAGAATTAGCTGTCCCTTAGGTAGAGGACAGCTGTAATTACAATCACAATTAAATAATTTTAATTATAATCAGTTCTTATAAGTTATATAGTTATGTTTAGTATTTAAATTATTATTTTTGTTTTGTTTTGATATTTAGACTTTATTTTGTTCTAAAATCATATATAAAGTTTAGTTTATATTTTATTTTGGTATCGTATCAGTAATTTAATTATTTTTTAACGACGAGATACTAAATTGAAATTTAAACTAAATATTTGTATGATTTTGAAAAAAAATGAAATATGGTTTAAAACCTCTTAATATATAAATTTAACTATAAACTGATTTTTTTTTCTTAAACCTCGATCAAATTTAAAATTGAACCAAATTGAAATCCTAACAAAAAGTTAACATTAATGTTTTATTCAAAATCTTACTTAAAAACCATAATTCCTTATTATTCAATCCAACATCTTAGTTTTTTGATTTTTTTTCTACCAATAAATTGAGAAAGAAATTCCTTGCTTGCTTAAACTTTTACACTTTGATTGCTTAGGGAGTTGGGACATAGAAACATGTAAAATATTGTCATGGCTTTTTGAAGCAAAGTACTAAAGGTAGAAACCTCATTTTCAGCAAAGAGAGAGCGAGTAGGATATGGATGCCTTCAATTTAGATCTTATCCACTCTCCTGGTACAATGGGAAAGGTATATTCATTATACACCGTTAGTGTATACATGATAATGACAAATCTTGGAATAAAGGGGGGAATCATTTTAAAATACAATAAATTACAATGGTCAACATTATCCTATGCTTACATGCCACCACATATCAGCTTTACATGCTCCCTCTTACAAGACCACATAGTTTCATTGCGTTTTCAGAACTCAGATCTTACTTTTGTTCTTCTTCTTGTTCCTGCTATTTCAAGGCATGAATCTGATGAATGAAGGTTGGGGATGCAACTTGATGTTCAAGCAAGGAGATAACTCATTATCCATTGAATCCTTCATAGGTGAAAACTCATCAGAAAACTCCATTTCTTCAATATCTTTATCAGACTTGGTTGAGGAAGCATCTTCTGCAACATCATCGTTGTCATCATCCAATGGACCTCTTTATGAATTGTCAGATCTCATGGCTCAACTTCCTATCAGGTAAGCAAACATAGACTAACATATCAAAATACTTGTCAGATGGACTGAGGGGCTGCCGGGATGGTTGTCCTCCGAAAATTTTAAATTCTCATATCATTTAAGTATTTTTTTTGTATTTTCTATTGATAATCTATTTTTTTCTTTATAGAATTTTATAAGTTCAGCCTCTTAACATAAAATCTTACCTCCGTTCTTGTTCTTATTTACAGGAGAGGGCTTTCTAAACATTACCGAGGGAAATCTCAGTCCTTCACATCATTAGCAAGGGTGATGAGCATAGAAGATGTTCCAAAGAGAGTGGTGAATCCTTTGAACAATAGAGGCAATATGAAATCATGTAAGAGCTATGGATGGGAACTTGATGGTGGTCAGAGAAGCAAGTCATATAGTCCCAAGGCTACCATATCAAAGAAGGGTTGTTATAGTAGAACCTTTTTCATGTCTTCTCTAGGTAAGACAAGTAGTAATAATCAAGTGATTAGTGAAAAATGAAGGATTGAGGTAATGTTGTTCCTATACCTTCCATCTCCTTGCACAAGAACCCATCAGATTAGCTGAAATTGTTGCAGCAAGCGAGGTGTGTTGTAGTTTTTCCATTTCATGGAAGGAAACAAATTATCAGCTCACCATTCTTTGTGGATTCAAGCGAAAATGGGGTTTTATCCATATACAGTTATGGTTGTCAAAGGTTTAAAGATGATTTATAACCCTTAATAAGGGGTTTTAAGATTACAGAATACTAGCTTAGAGTAAACCAGTGTAAATCCACATGTGTATGCATTTGCTCATGGCATCCAAGTATACAACTACAATGGTTTTACTAAAAGAACAAAAATCTGTTAAATCTATAAGGTTTAAAAATCAAACATAAAATTAGGTGTAGACAATAAAATTGTTAGAGTCCGAGCCCATTATAAGGAATTGACCATGCTCAATATCAACTTAGAAGGAATTGAGCATCTTGATTATATGGTTAAATTTATTAACATAAATTCTTCATCAATAATTTATAATGAAAAAAAAAACGTCTTGAAATGCTTCTAACTCGTGCTCTTGTAAATTGACTTGTTTAAACATCCTCCTCACACTCAAGTGCTTCAAATATGTGATCTGTTAGTGAAATCATATATATCAATTATCAACGGGGAAGAGCTTGTTTCCCCCTATACATTCTTGCATCTATGTGCGAATTGCAGCCATTGTTCTTAATTTCTTAACCCTTTGAAGTCCGACCTCTCTGTTATTTGCATTAACTGTTTGTGGTTCATGAAACTAAACTGACCTAGACAATGGTATTTTTTTCCACAATGAAGAAAGTAAGTGAATTTGTAGAGCCTAGAGATCTCTTATGTCCCTTCACTCTTACTGAAGTACATCACAAGGGTAGGATCCAGCTTGCACATTTCATGTGAGTTTTCCATCGAGGACTAAGGAGGCATGCCTGACAGCCCTGGCAACTCTCCAATTGGCATGACTCAGCTGTGTTCACATTCTTTGCATTTCCAAACTGGGAAGGAATATGTTGCAGAAAAGTTGCATGATCAGATCCTACTCCTCCTAATCTCCCCGTCTTCGTAAGTTACGTTCAATAAAGTGGATATGTTCTTTTTGATGTAGTCATGTAAAATAAACGCGCCGACCAGACAAGTTCATAGGAATCATTAAGTTACTTTCATTATGCATACCAGATGAGGATCAATGAACCCAGCCCATTGTTCCTAGATTGTTTGTAATGAGTTATCCGGATCTTAATGCTAAAAGAGAACTGTTATTCTTCTCAAAGAATTTGTGTTCGATAAGATGTGCATATAGGGTGTATGAGTGTTGTTAGTAAAACTTCATAGGAGACAATGTGTGCCTTCATGTTGCAGGCGGAGAGTGTGGAAAGAACGTATGATGCAGTCTCGGCGTTGGCTTGCGAGCCAGCAACATGAGGGAGGCGAGTGAGGGTGTGGAGGTGGTGAGATACGGGGCATTATTGGACAGTGAATCGGGTATAAATAGTCATTAGATTTGACAATATGTTATAAAATAATTTTTAAATTTATCAAAATACATCAACATTTTATAACATGCATCGATGATTTTACGATAGTTCGATAAACTTAATAATCATTTGTAACTTTCGAAATTTCAATAATCGAAAATATCAGTTTAATTTAATTATCATTTGTGTGTTATCATAATGTTTTATACATTGATTCAATAACTTCAACTACATCATCAAACTAGATTATAGTAGTTTCGCTTATTTCATGTCAATCTTATTAATTGAGGTTCGAAATAATAATAATGAAGAATTCTTTGAGTGGTCTAGGAAGTGTTGTTCTCCCTTAAGGTCTTGAATTCTAACAGTTGTGACTGCAGGTTGTATGTACATTGTCAAGAGTTAAAAAATATAATGAATAAATATTATCTTATAATCACATGAAATTATTAAAAAATGATAATAATGAACGATAAACTTTCCCCTGTGCATGAATTATGCCCATGAGAGAAGACTATCTTATAGTAGAAAGAGGGGTCTGGAACATTTGTTTGTTTAGAATTCTTCGGAAAATTGGACAGATCAGATCATGTCCTAAACTGTGTTTCTTGACATCCTCCTCTTTAGGTGCCCTCTCCTAGTTTTAGACGCAAGAAACTCCCTTCACTCACATCAATGGGTTGATTTAGTTGGTTTCCATTGTAGAAAAGTAGAGCATTTACATGGCATTTACGGCGTTTTTAGTCTATGAATACAGTTACAGAAACATGGAAGGTGGCCTATCTCCCACTTGTCCTTCCCCCCATTCAATTTGGCTAATTACACTTCCAATGCTTTAACTTGCATATTTGGTAGGCCTCCGTGTTTGTCTGTTTTGGTGAATTATTACGTTTATATTATAATATTAAACTAAGTAGTTTCGGTGATTAAAAGAGTATTATTATTTTTTGATGTTTTAAATTCAACAGTTATATATACAAAATATATGAACATTATCAATAATTAAAAAAATCTTGAATTAATATTATCTCATAATTATTAAAAAATATTATACGATAATTTTCGTTGATAAAAAAATTAACTTCATGTGTATTCATAAAACTAATATATAAATCAGAGTAAGAAGAACGGAAACGCAAAACAAGACGCCGTCAACATCACCAAAATTCCATACACAAGCTATAAAATATTTGTAATTGCAGTTCAAGTGCGCTGCCAAAACACAAATCCTCTTCTCAACCACTTAATTTATTGAAAACTTTTGAATCCCCGTCGAATCTAAACCACCCAAATTGGTCACTAACGGGTGAATATTTTATACCAAACCTACGTGATTAAATATTGGATGTATTTTAAATAAAATGTCATATTTATACTTACATTTAAATGAAAATAATATTAATAGATAGGAATATTAATTGAGCGGAACGGATTTGGGGATACTCCTCTCACATTTATTCCCGTCAAAAGTTTTTATATTTATCTTTGTCTCGGGACCTTCTACGCGTACAAGATTCAAAACTATTATCGCCTGACAAACTATAAGACAAAAATTATCTCTATCTCATCACCCAAAGTAATCTTCATTATACATTTTATACAATCCATGTCATACAATATATTTATAAGTATCATTTTAAATAAATGTAAACTAATTTTTTATATAAAATACATATCTTCTCGACTTTCATCACATATGTGACATTATTCCGACCGTTATCATTTAAAAAATAATAATAGATTATGGTGATCAATTAATTAATAGTAAAAATTTAAAACATTAAAAAATAATAGAATTCTTACTTAATATCTAAATACAAACAATGATGCAGAACATATTAAAAAGAGATAACCGTATCAAAATTGTAACCACATTTTCAGTTTAGTAATTTAGTATGAAGTAAGAGGAGTGTCTTTATTGGTGGAAGAAATGATAATCAATTAGAGAAAAAAGAAAGATTATGTTTTGAAGCATCTATTCAGTAGAGAAACAAGGAGATGCCACTCACGGGCATTACAACGCAAACAACAATACAAAAGGAGATAATAAAGAAAATAGTTTGAAATTGGTCCTCTCTTGTGGCCTAGATTGTTTGCTTTTTCCCACCTCCCTTGTTTCCTTCTCTCTTCTTCTTTGACATCTCTGCCACCAAAATGCACCCGTGAGTCCAACCTTGCATCATTCATTCTCTTTCTCTATCTTCAACAACAAATATATATATATATATATATGTATATCACTTTTCTGCCCAACAATAAAGTACCGAGTAGCCTGTATATAAACCATGATTGGAACTGGCCAATCCCATCAACCTCTATAAAAGACATCCCCTTTTTGCTCTCATTCTCGTCTCATTCTTTAAAACCATGCCAAGATTTCAACTTTTTCTTTACATCACCATCTTTGTTCTTCTCTTGAACTCAGGCCACACATTGTGCCGTACCAAATCAATCAGAGCCAAAATCTCTAAAGCCAAGCACAGGCAATCAAATGTGACAGAAACCCATGTCTCGGAGCAGCAGTTCATGCAGTGGGTCAAATTCGTTGGTAGCCTCAATCACTCGGTTTTCAGGTCAGCTAAGAACAAGCTTTTCCCTTCTTATACCATCACCGTCGACAAGAATCCGGCCGCCGGAGACTTCACCACTATTCAGGGCGCCATTGATTCTCTCCCTTCTGTTAATCTTGTGAGAGTGGTCATCAAAGTCCATGCAGGGGTTTACACGTGAGTACTTTGACCTTATATATTCTGCCCTTGCATCAATTGTAGTTTTACTCTTGTCCTTGTGATTCTCTGCAAATATACATATGTATATATATATATATTTATAGATTCTAGAGTTTGTCTACATTCACTTGTGTCCATATACTTGTTCCGTGTGAGACTGTCATACAGACACAAGAATGTAGTCTCCATTTTTTGTTTGTTTTTGTGTCTTTCATCTGTCTGATTGAATTTCCCATTGAAATGGTATTAGACCAAATAGTCTAATTCAAGACCCTTTTCCAGACCGATCTTTTCTTTCATGTAATTCATGTCTTGCTTCTGAAAGAAGTTGATCGTTTTGATTTGATTTCAGGGAGAAGGTTAACATTCCACCATTGAAATCCTTCATAACCATTGAAGGCTCAGGAGCAGATGAAACAATTGTTCAATGGGGAGACACAGCTCAAACACCTGGCCCGAGAGGACAACCTATGGGAACCTTTACTTCTGCAACTTTTGCCGTTAATTCACCTTATTTCATAACCAAAAACATAACATTCAAGGTACCATAATTGAACCAGTCTTGAACTATTTTTTCTTATTTGTGAAAGAAAATTACATTGGTGCAGAACACAACACCAGTGCCACCACCAGGAGCAGCTGGAAAGCAAGCAGTGGCATTTAGGATATCAGCGGACACAGCTACCTTTTTAGGGTGTAAATTCCTTGGAGCTCAAGACACTCTCTATGATCACTTGGGCAGACATTACTACAAAGATTGTTACATCGAAGGTTCGGTCGATTTCATCTTCGGCAACGGTCTCTCCCTCTTCGAGGTCAGTAACTAATCCCTCACCTGCATTAACTGACCAAACCTATACACACATATACATTATACATATGTTGTCTTTTGGGATGCTTCTTTCAGGGATGTCACGTGCATGCAGTGGCAACACTAACAGGGGCAGTAACAGCTCAAGGAAGAGCGAGTATCTTAGATGACACGGGCTTCTCTTTCGTGAACTGTAAGGTCACGGGGTCAGGGGCACTGTACCTCGGGAGGGCATGGGGTCCTTTCTCCAGGGTGGTCTTTGCTTACACTTATATGGATAATATTATCATTCCCAAGGGCTGGTATAACTGGGGCGACCCTGCTCGTGAAACGTAATCTCTTTTGCTTTCACCTTCTCTTTCATGCATGCATATGTGTAATATGATTTCATCATCCATTAGTTAAATAAAACTTATTACATTATTGGATAAGTAGTGGATATATATATATGTGTGTGTGTGTGAAAAACGAGTAGGACAAGAAATTTGGGCGGTTACTGATATAGATACCTGAGGCTCAGAAATGTGTGCGCTTTCCTTTGATCTGTAAAACCTACGTGTAATGCACCATTGAAGGCACCCAAATATATATATTAGATTAGGTAGTGGTGGTGATCGGTGCTAAAGATATATTATATTTTGCAGAAGCTATATAGCTTGCGCATGCATGATCGGTGGTGCTATAAAGTTCTGTAATTTTGTATTGAAGTGGTCGGTTTTGTTTTTGTGGGGTTGGGTTTGCTTGCAGGACTGTGTTTTATGGGCAGTACAAATGCATGGGACCGGGAGCAAGCTTTGCAGGAAGGGTTTCATGGTCGAGGGAGCTTACTGATGAAGAGGCTAAGCCTTTTATTTCTCTTAGTTTCATTGACGGCTCCGAATGGATCAAATTGTAATCATTGGAGACTTCTTGGAGTTGGATATTGTGTATATTAACAAAGAAAAAATAACTACATTTATCATTTAGTCTTTCTGTTCTTCTGATTTAATCATTTAAGTCTGATCAATAATACAAAAGAAGTTCCATTAAATTGGATTATGTTACAACTGAAATTCCATATATTAAATTAAAGGGATAAATCATATTTTAGTCCTCGATGAAATTGTTTCTTCCGATCCACGTTAGTCTTTGAACTTCAATTTCTAATCATTTTGTTGTTACGACACTCTAAAATTGTGTCAAGTGTTACAATCTTTAAGTGACATAACATCATAATTTCAAGTATAGTAGTTAATGCGGACAAAGAAAAGTTCAAGAATTGGAAAAATATGGAATACAATTTGTTCTATCCTCAAACCAAAAGGGTAAAGAGACTAAATTCTAAAAATCAAAAGGTTGAGGGATTAAGTTTTAAATATGCAAAGAATATAGGATGGGATTAGGGCCCTAGTCCATTTGCCTCATGGATTAATAAGGCCCTGCCCTTTGTTCTTTGAAGGAGTCTGAGAGGATTGTTACAATCGTCTGGGCCAGCGGTGGTTTCCTAAAGAAAGTGACCCAATTGCTGGACAATGCCTAAACTAAAGCTATTTCTTTTAATAGGAAATTTTTTTGAATAGGAAACTAAAGCTCGTTCGGTGGGATTTATTTGATTTGGTTTCAAAAGTTTATAGTATAACTCAATTGTTAAAAAAAGAAAATAGAGATAAAAAATTAAGGATCTAAAGAAACAGAGGTCCTCGGGTTTTGTCACACATATTGAATCTGTATATTATTATATTTCTACTATTAGATGTTGATTAGAGTAAAAAACATAGTTTAAGTTTTTTGTTATAGAAGTTTCTTTTATAATTAAGTTATAATTTTAGTAATAGATGTTAGAGATTAGGGCTAAAAAATCAAATTAAGTCTAAAAACTCACTCAAAATCATAATTCTTTTATATACTTTTTTATTTTCGACATTAATTTAATTTTAATTCTTCTCCATCCTTTGTTTTAATTTGAAATTATTTGTATAAAATCTTAATGTTTGATGCTATCTCGGTCCTAAACACATCTCCATCAAATCAATCATCTACGACCATTTGATAATGACACGAAATATTGGGAAAAGAGGTGAGGTTGGGTTTAATTTATTCGAAACAATCAGCACTTGTTTACATAGGAATCCCTGCACATTCTGTGTTGTCATCTCAACTATCTTTGCTCACCAACATCCAAGAGAGGCAAAGTTCATCATGCTGCGTTTTTCATTATTTGCTCTCCACATTCACCACTTCCTCTGCAAATGGTCTCTGCCCAACTCCGAGGATCTTTCGAGCTTCCCCATCACTGCATTCTTGAAATTAATAGCTTCCTGAACTTGTGAACACGATTTCTGCATCTTAACTCCACTTAAGCTACATCTAGACTCCATCATTTCGTCCAGCGAAACCCGCTTTTTCGGCCTCTGCTTTGGAGCACTCTGAGACCTCAATTTAGCCTTGAAAGACCGTGTCTTCGCCATATAATTGGGAGAATCCCTGTACTGTCCCAAGTAGTTTCCACCACCACAGACACTCCTGCTCGGTGTGACCGGGGCATTACCGACGCAAGAACCCAAAAACCGAGGCGTACATTGTACCGTGGAGAACCTGCATTCCTCTCCTGTTAATCCCCAATCCATGTCTTGAACCGGTATCGATAAACCAGCCGGAATTCGACATGGAAGCGGAGAAGACATCGATTGATACTTGGGGTCGTCCCCGAAATCCGATACAGAGGCATTGGTCCTTCGAGATCTCGATTTCGGCCTGCCCGTATCAACCTCCACGATTTTTGGACTTTCATCAATGTAATTCATGGCAGGAGTGTCGAGAGAAGCCGACAATCTTCTGCTATGGATCAAAACAGTATGTTCATTCCTCATATCATCGAATCTCTCCTGCAAGATGAGATTTTATTAACAGATTCAGAAATTACAAGCCTAAATGGAGGCCAAAAAATGGAAAATTTACCGCAATTGCTCGAGCTTTCCGGGACCTAATGGTGGCTTGTGCTCTTATCAAGGCCTGCATGCTATGAAAAGTAGCTGCTGCTTGTTTCCTCACTAAATATCCTCTAACCATTGCCTGTATCTTCACCAATCCTTTCAAAGCACTCAGTGCTTTTCTTGCCTGTCGGTAATGGAATCAGAATCAAACAAAACCCTTAAATTTTAATACAAAATTGAATAATCGAGGAACGTTGATACTTACTAGGTAGCCTCTAAAAACGGTCTGAATCTTAACAGCGGCCCACCTCTCACGTCCGCCGCCGTACATGGTTCCCTTATCATGACTCGTCAGCCTCACCACCGCTACTGCTGCCTGCGCAGCGGCTACAGCTGCGTCTGCAGCCGCTGCTGTGGCGGCCGCGACGGCGATTGCGTGCTTGTTCTGCTCTTTCTCTGCTTCATTGCGGTATGAACTTAGCCATACTGCCTCTGCTGTTGATATGTTAGGTGGTATTGTCGTGGGGTTGTGACACAAAAGTTGTCGGCCCGAATGGCCGACGTTGTACCTCTCGTTGTCTTTTTTCCGGTAACCGGAGTTCGAGTGGTCTATGCTGTTCTTCACCCCAAACAAGCTCTTCAGCCACCTTGTAGCTTTTCCCATTGTTTTTCTTTTCTCAATGCACTGAGCAGAAGGCAGTTTCAGGAAACGAGAGAATCTGGACCGGATTCTAGAAAAACATTTTAGAAAGAGATAAGAAATGTAAAATATATAACTTTAATTCCGCAAGATATCCTTAAACTATGATTCTGATTCTAAATTAGTCACTGATTTTCAAAACATTCAACACCATAATATTTGAAATTCAAAACGAGGTGAGTATAAAATGAAGTGATGAGCTCGTGTGAGAAACAACATAACAAGACAAAAAAATACTGCTGAAAGATTCAGAGGGACTTTATAGAAAACAAAATATTTATGTTATGATCTCTAAGAAGTTTAGAAAGGACTTATTGCAATTTGCTAATAAAACAATAGGGTAAATTGCATTGTTAATCACTAAGTTTTAAATTTTGTATTAATTATAACATTAAAATTTAAAATACTTCAACTTTAATACTGAACATTAGTTTAGTTTTCAATTGGAGCATTGGGGCTCTAATAGAGGTATTTTCTTTATGATACTGAGCAATTAAACAAGCATTATCCAAAACAAGGTATTTTTAAGAAGTAGTCTATATCAGTATTTTGACTGAAACAAAAATATAAGGATCGAATCTCAAATTTATGTATAGTTGAAGGACAAAAAGTGTAGTTTGACTAAAAGTAACTTTTCTCTCGTTAATTTTGGAACAACGTGAGTTCGAAAAGAAAGTATATCAGGGTCCTCAGCCTCTGACAATCTCGTGAAGCCTTTGATTTTTTTTCAAAGTGCTTATACAAACCGATATATATAATGTTAAGCACTGTCTTTGGCTTAATACTTAAAAAGGTCCCTCTACTCTAGTGAATTCTCACTCCTTTTTTATCTGTTTGAATCCTTAATTTTTAGTTTATGATAAAAGAGTTAAAGTGACAATTTTACTAAAATAAAAGAGATTAAATAGGTATTAAACTTTTTTAATCTAATTCTAGGCACCTCTTTTACTCACTGCCTTCTTAATTCTATTAAGGGTAAACTTACTAATAGTCACTAAATTTTTAGGGCATTTTCACTTTGGTCATATAAATCGGAAAAACAGCTATTGTGGCATGTTAAAAAGCCCTAAAATAACTAGTAATCATCGCTATCCTTTCTATTGTAATCGGTGATTTCTCTAATTAAAAAAATCATCGAACTATCCTTATTCTTCTCATTTATTGTGATAATAATCATAATTAAAGTGAATTAGAAATTTAATAATTGTGATACATGTTTTAAAAGTTTGGTGACTTAAATAAATACCTTAAAAATTAAGTGACCACGAGTATAATTTACTCATCTCTTAATCTTGTAGTTCATTGTGTAGGTAAGTGGACAGATTGTATTACGATGATTTCAGAGTGACAGTGACAGTCAAACAAAATTTCAGTATTCAAACAGATATTTTCACATCTCTGCAACAAGGAACAACCTCAAATTCTGTCCATCAATGGGGTCTCACTCTCACAACACAACAAGCAATGCGAGAGCATGTAGTCTCTCTGCCTCAATACGCAGATGATATGTCACGTTGCCACTGTAAAACTTTTTCACCATCAAAACTGTGAAAAGCACAAATCTAGTTAAGGTTTTCCGTCAATTTCTTTTCCTTCTTTTCATCGTGTTTCCTTTTGTTATGGTTCCAAATTCCAGCCCCCCCCCCCCTTTTAGAATCTTCGATATTCAGTAACTATGTTTTCGAGAATCGATTAAGTGATATTAGTGGTCAATTTAACTCTTTTAAAAATTAAAAAACTAATTTTCTGGAATTCAGATATTAATTTAACTCTAAAAAATCAAAAATCAATTTACTCCACACCAATGCAAACCGAAATATCCCCTTACATGTCTCTTCCGAAATTGGTGTCAATGTCGAGGAATGGCATGGAGAAGTAAATAGGGGATAGAGGGAAGGATGAATTGGTAAATTTGTAGATGACATACAAATAGGAAAGATCAATCTTACAATCATAATTATAAAATTAATAGTTCTTTTCCGATATATTTTAATCTAATTTTCGGTTTTAATGGAATTGATATCCTCTCTCGAAATACAATACACCTTGTTAATTAATTGGGTAAAAATATATTAATATAATATACATTTTTCTTTGTACTAAAATCTATCTTTCAACCATGCATTGTGTGAGGGCATTTGGCAGTGGCTTGATCCCAGACCGTTGATAGAAAGACAAAATCTAAAACGAGATCATGACAATTGGACGTATCTCAAGAAATAACATTAAAGTTGACAAAATTTCATACAAGGTGGCTTTCATCAACATTTTTGTACTGATTTGATGTGTACGACTGTGCTGTATAAGTTATGATTTTATCTGTTCATAAGATGTGTCGAGGGATGATCATGAATTGGTTTGGGTTGAATTTTCGACTAATTTAATTTGATTAAAAAATTATATATATATTTATTTAAAATTTAATCTGATCTGACCAACTGAATTTTAATGGCTGGATGATTGATTTTCAATGAATTGAATTCCACGAATACCAACTAAGCGGTCGATACTCTAGCGAAATTCTCGTTTCCTCGGTCTTTTATGATGACAGTTGTACATAAACCCTCTGACGAAGTGCTGCCGCATCTTGATAGAGATAAATTTGGTTTCCACCTTTTGTATATCTAATTTTCTTTACACTTTCTTTAGTATGATTAAAAAAAATGACCCCATCATAGTTACATAGATTCTATTTGATCCGAATTTTAGAGTAAAGCTCACATCCGATATGCAGGACACGGTTTTTTTTAATTTTTATTTGATAAAATAGATACCTAAATAAAAGAAATATAGAGAGATATTATAACAATTATCTCTAAATATATAAAAAAAATAAACTTTTATCTATGGTTAGAGATTTTCTCATTAAATCCGATTCTGATCCGATCTCTTCCTTCACAAATCTCGATTCAATCTAAGTACACTTTTCTTCTTTTAAAAAATTAAAATGAACATATAGGGTTATATTGAGTCAGAACCCGTTGAATTCGAGTCAAATTATAACCCCTAGTCACGATTCAATTATAAAAAAAATTAATCCAAACTCGAGTTTTTTTTTATTAATCAAACTATAGTTCAGATCATACAAATACAAAATTAAAATACTAACAATTAGTTAGTCTAGGGATATGAGCACTAAATCTATTAAGCAAGACCAAGGCTTTGAATCGTGTAGTTTGCGTATATAGCAAACAGGGTTGAGATAGTCGTCATCGCCTCTGCAATATTCGATCTGAATTAATCAATAAATAAATTGGGTAGCAGTGATTATAAAAAAAAAGAAAAAATTAAAATAAAACTTGTTTAATTTCAAATTTGATAGAAATTTAAAAATCATTTAAACAACAACTCTATGTATTCAAACCAAAATTTTAATTTGACCAATATTTAAGCCGATAATACTAAAATTCTAATGTATGACTCAATTTGACCAATTATTCATGTCTCATTGAAAACCATCCATTTTTCTTAATCCCGCCAAAACAGCTTTTCCTTTCTTCTTAAAATCATGAAGAAGCGAAACAAAATTTTGATTTACAAGGACCCAAATTAAAATTTCCTCAATGGGGCTTTAGTAAATACTATAGCTTATTATATGATTATAATTGGTCATAATTACAATATTCGCCCCTTCACATTGCATGATAGATCGATAGGACTCAAATCTGAAATCTCAAAGAGTGTCAACTTCACCATTAAACTAAGACCTAATTGGTTCATAATTTTTTAAAAGAAAACAATTTAAATAAAATTTCATTAGTTTAGATTATTCCTCGATAGAGCCATACATGATTTGCACAACCAGAAACCCAAATTTCATTATATAGTAGATTGGGCAGTCCATTTTGGGTCAATTTTTGAAAGTAGGCTTCTGCATTTTTCTCAACAAAAATGCCCAGAATTATTTCAGCCCAAATTGTCTTCAAATTAATTTTAGATACGGAAAATGTTTTTTTTAAAGATTTAGTTTTAGGGTGAAAATATATTTTGGTATCTGAATCGGTTTTAAGATCTGATTTTGTACCTAAATATTTTTAATGCATTGAATCTTAAATATGGTTTTATGATTAAATAAGTCATTTATCATAAATATCAAATTTGGATTAATTCGGATACCAATTTGGACTAACAAGTTAAGTTCAAATATTTAATTGAACTAAAAAAATAAGTACCAAATTGTAACTTGAAGCCAATTTTTTTATAATTTTATGAGAATAATAGTCATATAATAATTATTTTTGGAAATGACGCTTGAAAAAGTTTTTTTTTAAATAGCATTCTTTTGTCGAAGGCACATCATATCAGTTGCGTTTTTAAGAATGCGTATTTTACAAAGCTTACCTTCCCTAACATTGCAGGAGGTTCGATCAGAATTTTCATCTTTTGCATTTGGTTAGAAATTTCACCTGACGGGATAAGATATTAGATTTTGTAAATAATATGAAAAATTCAAATTCGAATTAATCGACTAAGTAATCGAATACTAATAGCTATGGAAAAAAAAAACCTCGAAAAGTATATAAGGTATTTTGAATATCCAACTTGTGATTTTCAATATTATAAACATCTTAGAAATATTATATATATTTTTTATGCATTAATAATCTATGTCAAGTCGATCAAGTATAGGCACAAGCACATATAACTAGTGCACCTCTTGCTTCCCATTGCATTGCTTTTGATAAAACCCTAAGGTAGGAATGGCAACGGGGCGGGTTCGGGGCGGGTTTTGTTCGCCCCGTCCCCGAACCCGAAATGAATCTCCGTCCCCGACTCCAACCCGATCCCTGACGGATTTTTTATCGGGGCGCCCCGTCGGAGATTTTTTTTGCCCCGTCCCCGACCCGAAATTTTATACCCGTACCCGACCCCGACCCGAATACTGTATGCCAATCATTTACAAAAATTGGCATAATTTATGTTATTGTTTAAGGATGGTTATTCAAATTTCAAAAGTGGTTTGATGTTGGTGTTAGATAATCCATAATCAAACCTGCTGAAGTAATTGTGAAAGTCCATTTTAAAGTTCCCAGTATGCTACATTATGTAATTTTGCAGAGATTAGACGACTAGCTATTAAATTTAATAAGATTAAAAGACCACATCAAATTATATTAGCAATCATTCACGTCAAAGTAGTAATGTTGACAAAGAAATATAGAGATTCCTCAACCAACAGTTCCAAACATAACAATTTCCATATCACAATTTCCCTCATCCAACAGTTACAAACATCACAATTTCCAACAGTTCCAAACAGCATTCCCAGTCTTCTTTTGAATGCTAGCACCAACACCATGGGACTTTGCTATATCAGATTCCTCATTCCTCTGCAGTTGAATCATACTGAAGCAACAACGGTAAAAGGTACCTAAACAACCAAATGACACAAGTTATCAAGTAATAAAGGATTATAGATGTAACGTATATGATTGCTACAATGTCATTCTCCTGCACATCCATTAGAAATAGTATTTACATCCAACATAAAAACAGAAAAATCCTAATAAATGTACAATAATAGGAAAAGATTGAGAAAGTAATGACACCAAAAAGACTTGAACATAAAGTGTGCAACCACAAGAAACAAATCGCCGACTATTTACTCTCTATAATATTCTATACTGGAGCATGTTCCCTAGGAATTTATAAGAGTAATCGACTTCAAGAAAAGAAACACAATAGTTCAAGAAGGTTCTATAAAAGTTTATTATTTATTTAGCAATGGAAAGACTACATAACAAAGCGACAATAAATCAACCAAATTTTACTTTCATAATTATAAAAGCATGTTACCAAAATAGTAATGTTTTTATAAACATTATTTACCTCATCCACGTCATAATCATATTCAACAGAGCGACAATATGCCTCGGTCTCTTCTGAACAAGTTTCTATAAACAAAATAACATAAATTATCTTTAACAAAAATATTATTCAAAAAAGAAATGGCATATAAATTAATATAGAATATAGTGTTACCGACTTACCTTGAATCTCATTCAACAACCAACTTTGCGCACACATTAAAGCCTCCAAAGTTTTTGGATGAAGTCGACTTCGATGTGGACTTATTAATCTTCCACTAGTGCTGAATGCGGATTCTGAGGCAACAGTGGAAACAGGAATTGCCAAAATATCTTTTGCTATCCTTTGAAGTGTCGGATTCTTACCTCCATTCGTCTTCCAACAAACCAACAAATCAAGATCCACGTCTTTAGGCAAAAGCTTCTCTTTCAAGTAGTTGTCCAATCGAGCTATATCACCCGAGTCATCATTCTCACTAGCTATTGAAGCAATGTCGGACAATAGTTTTTTGCATCCTCCACGATACTCAGATGACAATCCCGAACTCATGGAAGATGAACCATGCACACCACCTATAATTTAATAGAAGTAATGTTTAGTTTACTATATAAAAATAAATATAAAGTTGATATTTTATAGGTAATACAGTAATACCTTCATAGCTTCTTGCACATGGATCGGTAGATTCATATTCTTCAAATAAAGTTCTAACAAAATCCTCAAGAGTTTGAAACTCAACCTTTGCCTTTTCAGGTCCATAAAGTACATGCATAAGCAACTCTACAAATTTTAACTTGTACCGTGGATCTAAAACCGTCGCTATCCCCATAATCCCATGAATTACAGACCAATATTTATCAAACTTAGAAATCATTTTATATGCCATCAAACTAATCTCATCAATTTCGGATTTTGTCTAATCACACAAAGAATAACCAATCTCACATATCAACGGGAAAAAGACATTCGCCGTAGGATACTTGTTACCAGAAAACATAAGAGTTACCTCATAAAATAATTGCAGTCTTTCACATATCTCATTTGCTAACTCCCAATCAAGCTCTGTTGGCAAACAAGTATACCTTGACTCTCTTAGCTTTAATCGCGTGAAAACATCTTTATAACGTATAGCAACACTAAGCATCAAAAAAGTAGAGTTCCATCGAGTCTTGCAATCAATGATCAACTTCTTTGTGTATTCTATTCCTAGCTGATGAGCTGCTTCCTCAAATCTTTGCTCCCTCTTTTGTGATGCACCCCAAAACGAAACACTATCTCTAATCCTTTCAATCCCCTCCTCGATAATAGATAAGCCATCTTGAACAATCAAGTTAAGAATGTGCGCGCAACAACGCATATGAAACAACTGGCCTTTCAACATGAGTGATCTTAATGGAAGCTTTTCTAATAACTTGTGGATAATTGAATCATTTGTGGTACAATTATCAACGGTAAGAGTAGACAACTTTCTATCTAGATTCCAATCACATAAATAACCATAGAGCATCTCAGCAAGAACATCAGTTGTATGTGGACATGGCACATAAATAAACCTGTTTACAAATTAATACATTAGTATAAGTGCAAACAATACAATTAAACTAAATTTATATTATAATATACCTCATGATTTGACTTTGCAAGTTCCATTGGTCATCTATGAAGTGTGCAGTGACCGCCATAAATCCTTTTCTTTGATGGTTGGCTGTCCACATATCAATAGTAATTGCTACCCTACTTGTGTTCCTCCCCAATAACTTCATAGTTCTTTGCCTTTCAAACTCGTAAATCTTTAAGATGTCGGTCTTGACGGTATTTCGAGATGGAACCTTAAACAAAGGTTGAAGGCCGCTAACAAATTTCCTAAAACCATGGTGCTCTACCATTGAAAGAGGATACTCGTGCACAATTATCATACCCGCGAGATCATTCCTTGAAGTGTCTGCATTGAACGTTCAAAATGGTCTAGTAAATGTTTTGTGTCGTTTTTGCTATTTCCTCCTAATTTTTTCTGGCAATAGTTACATTCGGCCTTATCTTCACCATTCACTTTCATTTTTTTAAAATGGTTCCACACCAATGATCTTTTTCCTTTTAACGCTGGACTTTTCAGCATCATCGAAAGTTTCATGGGTAATAGACTCGTTTTGGATATCAGACTCGTTTTGTGTAGCAGAGTTACATGGGAGTGGTTGATTGGAATCTTTTACCCCTTGATTGCTTCCTAAAGGACTAGGAGTATGAGTGCTTAAAGTAGATTTATTACCTTGTGATTCCATATGACCTGAAAAAAGCATATATAACAATTAACTTTCAAGTTTTCCTTAAATGTATTGTATCAATATGGCAAATCAAGAAATAAGATACGCACACATGTATGCCCCACTAAGAACAAAATTAGAGAAACATGTTTAATGCAGTTTGGACATCTAAATAGTTTTTTTTTTATGAAAGACCATGGAAATACACAAGTCGCAAGAAATAAGATACGCACACATGTATGCCCCAGCATGAAAATTTGAAAATCTTAAAACAATTGCAATAACCTTAACAAAATAAAAACCTAAATACGAGAAATAAATACAAAACCCAGTATCATATAATAAATCTTGCTTTAGCTCAAATTAACCGACCAATGAAAAGCAGTGTTGTTCTATAATCCTAAATTCTGGGCAAGGGTGGGTTTTAGTTGTTTCCATGAAGCAGAGAAGTTTAAACTTTCAAAAGGAAAAAATATCCATTATTTTTACGACAAGCATATTTTCAAAGTCCCAGAGATTAAATCCGATTCAAAAGCCCCTCAAAATATAATTAATCAAAAAATCAACCGTGACTACTAGATTCAGAACCAAAATTAAAGGAAACTGAGAAGGTAAGGATAGAAATACACAACCATATCGAAAGTAACAAAACTAAAAATCAAATAGCAGAATCGAATGTATAGAAAAGTAAACACATAAAGGAAGAACGAACCTGACGACTGACTTTACCGGGCGCAATTTAACCGTAGTTCGTAAATGAAAATGAATGATGAAAGAAAGATTTGTTGATGGTGAGAAAATTGGATCTGGATTCTGGAGAACGAAGAGAGCAGCCGCAGATACAAGAGTGAAGTGAGGATCGGGAGAGAACTAAGAAAACTAGGTTAAATCACTTAAATATTAAAAATATAAAATAATAAAATATTATATATATATATAATCGGGTTGGGTCGGGGCAGGGATACCCTGCCTCGATACCGAACCCGAACCCGAAAAAATCCCCAATACCCGACCCGAACCGAAATTTTTTAAACCCGACCCGACCTGAACTTAGTCGGGTTTCGGGTTTCCCCGTTGGGTTCGGGTCGTTCTGCCATTCCTACCCTAAGGGTACGTTTGGTTAACGGAATGTAAGATTACCAGTGGGAATAAAAGATTACTAGGGAATAAGATTACTGGGAATGTTGTATTTTGTGTTTGGTTGGTTTAGCAGGAATGTTAGATTACCGTGTTTGGTTAAATGAATAAAAGATTATTGTAATGTATATTTGACCAAATTGTCCTTATTATATATTTTTTTAACAAGTTGGAAAATATTTATATATTTTCTTTAAAAATTTTAAATTCATAAAATTTATATATTTTTTTTTACAAAATTAAAAATATAAAAAGGTTTAATGAAAGGGTAAAATTTTATTTTAACCCATGAACTTCATATAAAATTTTAATTATATATTTTTTTTGTAAATCTAAAATAGTTTAAGGATAAATTTATAATTTAACCTTGATAAAATTTTTATTGTTTAATGACAGAATAAATATATTTTTGAAAGAAAAAAAAATTAAGGATAGTTTAGTCCAAAACACCGATAATCCAACATTACCTAAGGAAAGGGAGGTAATGACATTCCCGGTAATATACCCAAAAAAAATCCACTATTAGTAATGTAAGATTACTGATAATGACATTTCCGACTAACCAAACGGGGAATGTGGATTTCATTCTCATAGAAATCTCACATTCCCCCAACCAAACACACCCTAAAAGGTATATATAATTCCAAGTTGAAACCGAATGAAACACGACAGCGGAAGCGTTGGAGATGTTAACGCGCTTGTCCGATATGTTCAAACGTGTAGGATTTGAATCATGGAAACCAACCCTAATGTGTGTGCTGCTGCTTCTGACGTTGAATATCCGACGGGGTATAGTAGGGAACAAAGATGCGTAGAGTTAAACTAATGGAGTGGTTGCCAATTATGGTAACCATGTGAGAAGCACGATGCAATAAAATAATGGTGTGGCTCCTCTATTTTACTATAAAAGGAATACCAACTTGATTCGGATTCTTAGTATAATCCCAATACTTATAAGCTATGCGTATAGGATTGTTCAACTTGGAAAAAGATACACGATATGATTAGCAGCAGCAAGTTGACCTAGTTGGAGCTTTAAAAATGAAAAAGAAAACCCCCACAACTATTCAGTCTTTAGAAGGTTGCTGTTCTTATCGGGTGATTACAAGAGTGGACAGCGGGACTATAACTTTGTTCCTTAAAATACATCATGTTGTTGTTGTGTTGAGTAGTTTGTTCTACTTTTTGTCCTCAACTGAGGCCTGTTCTGGGTTCTGGCTTGGCATATCGACCAAAACAGTATGCTTTTTTTTTATATATTTAGAGTTATTCAGGATTTAGGGTTTATATTTGGTTAAAAGAATTTGTTGTTTAATTAGAATCATCAAGAGGTTTCAGTAGTAAAAGAAAATATTATTATTTTTAGAGGTTTTAAGCTTGAGCAGTTATATATCTTTAAAGTGTGTTTCGTTTTCAATAGATCAATACCTAATTTGTTATATTTACAAACGTCAGGATTCGAATCACTGACTTTGCTTAAAGAATATGGTATCTCATCCTAGTAAACCTATTAATTGTTGATAGCAAATATATATTATTTATACATATAATTATACATGTAATTCTAAATTAAAGTTTTTTTCTCTTCAAAATAAAAGTTCAATCATGATCTAAATAGGTATGGATATGAGAGATTGAGAGTCAAATTCGATGGGTATCTACCGAATTTTGAATTTTATGGAGTCTGAATTTTTATTGAAATTTTGAGTTTAGATTAAATCGTTTTTCAAGGATAAGATCAAATTTGAGTTTAGGATTAAAATTCTCAACCCAACCAGAGTATTATAATATAATTGTCTATTATATTTTAAGAATAATTACATTAATGTCATTTTATATATATTACTTCATTTAATCTTTATTTTGTGAGTAAAATGGTATATATGTTTTAGATGCGAGTTTTTACGGAAGAAATCAAGTTGGATTTCTGATCAAATAATTAAATTTATCTTAGATGACAGATGAAGAATTATAAAATTATAATAACTGGGTCGATCAAAACTTAATCGATTTCCACCTCTTAACCTAAATAGTTACGGTATAATCTATTAATTTTATATCATTTAATTATATGTTGTCTATATTTTTTTATTGACTAAAATTTTACGCAATGAAAAGAGAGAAATTTACTGAAAATAGAATTTTTTTTGTAAATTTACTAATTGGGGTTAATTAAGCAGAACATGTCAACGGCTGTTCTACCTCACCCTTATTACAATCAAAATCATCCGGTTGCCTTATATCTATACACGTCAGCATCCGGGCCCTCTTAGCTTGTTGTTCCCAGTCAGTGGACTCCACAACATACAACATAAGCCCGGCGCAACACACCTGGGCCGAGAGTAGACCCAACCACAGACCAGAAAAGCCAATTCCGATATAGAACACGGACCCAACCGCAACGGGCATGCCCACCAAGTAAAACGCACCGAGGTTCACATTAGCTGCGGTGGAAGGGCGTGCACTCCCCCTGAGGACCCCACATCCCACCGTTTGCGGGCAGTTTCCGAGCTCGCACAGCCCTAGGATCGGAAGTGCAACGGATGTCAGCCGTAAGATCTGGGTATCAGATGTGAACATCAGGGCCCACTTATCCCTCAACGCCGTCGCAAACGTCAAAGCAGATAAACCCATTATGGCCGATATAAACATCGCCACCGCCACCGATAATCTCGCTTTGTAAGGACGGTTCGCCCCTAGCTCGTTCCCGACGCGAGTCGAGACAGCGAAACCAAGTGAAGAAGGGAAAACGTATAACAACGACGTCGTTTGGATCAGTATCCCCATTGAAGCCACCAGCGCCTTGGGGTTCACCAGAAGTCCGCACATCACGATCATGATCTCGTACCACCACCACTCCAAACAAACCAAAACGCAGCTCGGCACGGCCAGCTTCAGCAGTGACTTCCAGCCGGTTAAACACTCAAAACTCGGCTTTTCCCACGTCGGCTCGTGGATGCCCGAGACCCAAATGTAAGCAACCAAGGAGATGAGAACAAAAAAGTTGGATATGGAAGCCGAAGCCGCAACGCCGGAGACGCCGAAGTTAAAATGCGAAACGAGTACGAAGCTGATCGGCAAATGCAGAAAGGTGCCGAAGAAGGATGCTAAAGCGACTGGGCGGGTGATGCCTTGAGCGCGAAGGTAAATGCGGATTGGGTGAACGAAAGAGTTGGTGAAGAGATCGAGGAGGGAGAAAAGCAAGTACCTTTGGCCGATGCGGGTGATATTATGATCTTGTTGAAGATAAACCATGATATTGAACATGTTTATCCAAAGAAAAGATATAAAAATGGAAGTGAATAACAGGAAAACAACGTAGCGGTGAAGGGTTAACGATAAAAGCTTATGTCTTTGAGCTCCAAACGCTTGGGAACAGAGCGGGTCCATACCCAAAGCAAGGCCGGAAAGAACCGAGTAGCCGGTGATGTTAGCAAAGGCTATCGCTAATGAGCCGGCTGCGAGTTCGATATCGCCGAGATAGCCGAGGAAGAGCATGGAAACGATGGACCGAGAGTACAAAATGAGACCGGTTAAAGCTATGGGGAAGGCCAGATTGAAAAGTGATTTAGCTTCTGATATGATGTCGGAGATTGAACAGCATAGGTAATCAGTTCCACGGCAATGCTTTTCGGGGGAATCGAAGTAAATGTGGGTCGGAGATGATTTCTCGGCGGTTGTGGTTTGGTTACACATGATGACGATGGTGATACGAGGGAAGAAGAAGAAGAATCAAAGAATTCAAAAGCAAAATTCGTTTAATGTTCTGTGTTTCAGATGCTCTCAGAAACTGGAAAAAGAGAAAAAGAGCAGTCTGTTTGTGTTCACTCCTTTTCACACACTGAATTTGTATGGATGCCACGTTTCCTCTTAAGGATAGACAGATTTGGTTGATTCTGGGCAGTATTAATAGAGAAGTTGAGGTCTTTCCTTCTTTGTATTTTTTATATTATAAAAATGTATTCTGCAGCAGAATTGTAGTGCGATAATTTTGATACTTTTATGTGGTTTAGATGAACTCCGATAGGAGGCTTCAATTTCCGATAAGTGAATTGGTGTTTTTTAAGTTTTATTATATCAAATATTCTACAAACGATATGTCTTCTTGATTTAGGTCTAAAATTTTAAAGTTTAAAATTTATAATTAGTGATTTAGAATAATTTAAATATGTCGCATAATATTTGAATAGGTTTATTTGAAGTAATAGTTATAAATCGGATTATTTTTTTATTATATTTGAATTTGATTTTAGTATAACATCCTTTCATCCATCTGCGAATTAATATGAATTTAGGCGAGTTTTATCAGCTTGAAATATGATCTAATCCAAATTTAAAAAAAAATTCACAGAATTCAAAAATCAACTCAATTTTTAAAGTAAAAACATGCATTTGACATTACCTTACATGTCTAGACACAAATATATAATAATTTTTTTTATTAAATAAAATAAAGATTTATTTGATAAAAAAAATATAAAGAAAGCAATATTATATTTATTAGACCTAATATATAAAGATCAATTATATTATTATTATTACTATATTAGATTGAGTCAAATATTTTACCTCTTAAACCCGAAATTAGTTTTTTTTTTAAATCCAACCATATCAAATTAGATATTTAGATTAGATCCAAACCCATCGATTGGGTCGAACTTCCCTCTTTACGTGATTATAAAATTTAAACTTTATACGGTGCAAGTATCAAATAATTTCTCTTTATAATATGTTATATTATATTTAAAATTTTAATAAAAATAAAATATTAAATATTAAAATTAATATATATATTTTTTATAAATTCTAAATTTAATCCTAAAGGGAGAGAAAGACAACTTTAGAGAAGGAAAGAAGAGTGAGTCCAAAATTTATGGCTTACAAAATTATGAGAAATAAAGATTAATAATTTGACTAATCAATTAAATAATATCAGTTACCACGTCTAATATGTAACAATTAAAATGATATCAAATAAGAAGAGATTTAATAGGCGGTTTTAATTATTTTAAATGTTATAGGAAGTAAAGTAAAATAAAGGAGAGCAAAAAATGAAAAGAATCCATTGATAATGGCACATGACAGGTCACACGCTCTTGTCTTTTAGGAACTTTCTTTTCTTTTTCTCGGTTGGCAATGCAGAATGCAGATACAGAGTGCGAAGAAGAAAAGGATGACGATGAAAGAACTCAAAGCCCCAAACATCCCTAAATCGAAACTGGGATTTCGCTGCCACAACTGCTGCATTTCTCGTCCCCACAAAAAAAAAAAAAAGAGGAGAAATCAGTGAAGTGAAAACACTGCAAGTAATTCCTTTGATTTTGTTTCTCTCTCATTATTGCCTTGTCCATCTTGAGTTGGGTGAAACCATGGTTATCAAAACTGGATCAGATCGGCCGGTTGAATCGGTTGAACTGTGAACCGGTTGTCCAGTCCGGTTACCTCACAAAATCAGACTGACAATGAATCAGTTGAAAATCGATAAAATCGGTTTGAACAGCCAGTTTACTTTTTTAAAAAAAAAAAATTTAACCAAACAACGTCGTTTGTTCAACGACCAGAGCCAAATTCGAATATTGCTAAGCTCGACTCGATCTCGAAAACTTTAAAAGTAAGCTCAACTCGATTAAAAAATTCACGAGTTAAAAATTATCAAATTCAACTCGAACTTAAAATATAATATTAAAACTTGAACTCAAAAAGGCTCGAACTCAAAAAAAAAAATTAGAAGTTCAATTGAAGCCTAAAATTTGAGCTCAATTGAAGTGAAAGAATAGTTCGCTTTGTGCTCACCAAAAGGCTCCATGATTTTGAATGTCAAATTATCTCTACTATTTATAGAAGTAAGTTGGGATGCTCTTCTATGTTTCTTAGCCATGTGAGATTGTTTTGTTCTCATATTTTTACTCTTTAAACTTTTGAGATGTTCTTCTATGTTTCTTAGCAATGTGAGATTGTTTTTTTATAAAAAAATTTAAATCAAATGACATCATTTGTTATGATTTTTTTAAGCCTCAATTTTATTTTTTGATTATAGTTATATAATTATATTTATTATTTAATATGTTTTACCTTAAATATTATGTTGTAGTTAATTTGAATCATTTTGTTTCACTTGATTTTATAATTTTTAATTTATATATGTTATGACTTGTGATATTTTTATACCTTTTAATATTGTAAACTTAAAAAAAGTATTACATATATATTAATATTACTTTGAATATTATGTAAAAATAAAAAAATTTATTTTATATAAAATTTGATTCAACCGCGATTGAACTTGATTAAATCAGTGAATCAGTATTTTCACCGGTTCAATGTCCGGTCCGATTTTAAAAACATTGGGTGAAACTGACCCGTGCGTCGCGTTGTCCTAAGAAAAACAAGCTTTTGGAGTGTAATATTATGGACAGTCCCCACCAGGCCACCACCAGCTGACAACGGCTGGCCCTGTGGACTTGCCTGCAGGTGTTTCTATAACGGGAGCGCGTTTGTATGCGTTGGTGGGGGCTCCGTTCCCATCAAAATGATTTTTTTTTCTGCAGAATCTCCTGGTCCATGCTGCTTCCATTTTGGACCATTTCATTTCCCATTTGGGAGCAATAATGAGATAACCTCGTTGCTGCTATCTGTATTTTGTGTTATCATCCCTAACGGACACTGTTGCATGCCTCCATTATTTTCAATGATTCAAGCAGGTTGAAATGTTTTCCTGTCTTACATATAGGAGTTTACGCGCATGCATGCATGGATCTGATTCGATGGATGTTCATCATGCACATGCTAACTGCTACCATCATTTACATACACGTACATATAAAGAGGGGGATTTAAATATATTTAATCTAAAATTTAAGAGAGGTTATGTTTAATTTGATAAAGATTTAAATTAACAAGGATTAATATTATTATTTCATGTACTCCAATAAATTTGTCTTTAATTGTGAGTGGTAAGTTTTTTTAAAATTTGATATCTTATTAAGTTAAATATGTTATTGATAAAAAATATAAATATATTTAAATTTTATGAATGAATGAAGTAATTTTTAAATATATTGATTATAAAATTTAACTAATTAGAATATCAAAATCATTGAATGACATGAATGACTCAATCTAAATATTAATAAAAAATTAATTTAAATCTATATAATTTAATATAATAAAATTATGATATTACGTATCTGGTAAAATTAAAATAAAATCTGATTTGAAAGAATTAATAAATAAATAAATAATCAACATGGTTGGTTCAAGTGGTAAGCTGCTTAATATCGTTTAAGCAAACTCTTGAGTTCGAGTATTTGTGTATGCAAAAAATCCCTACTATAAGGCTCACTTATCAAAATCAGGTTTGCGATGCAAATAAGTCCGGATTAATCAAGACGAAACCTTAGAATCGTGAACCGGGAGTACAAAAAAAATATATGTTGCACCAGGAGTCCCACACGCATTACGTATCATATCTCACGTGGGGAGCATCTCTGCGCATGGTTTTAGAGACATTGTTGTCCTAAATTATTCCACTTTCCTTACATACATTCAAACTCCATTCTCAGCCTCCTTATTGAAAAATAGTTAATTGCACTACGTTCCCAAAGCACGTTTGGATTCTAAATTAGTTCCTGAATTGTGAAACTTTTTATTTGAGTCTTTAAATTATCATTTTTATCTCAATAAAGTCCTTTTGTTAGTCTAATAATTTACTAGAACAATTCTGTTCAATTTTTTTTTACTAGAACAATAAATGTCAACTCGGATCTGACGTCGAGTAATTTAAAGTAAATGTATCAAATTTTAAACACGTGTATATATACTGTATGAAAAATTTAGACATAACAAAAAAAAAATCAACTTATTTCATTAGAATTTAATAGGAATGTTTCTTTTCTTATCACATGAAATTCAAATGCACATATAATAGTTGCACAATGTTTAAAATTTGATTAACGACACGAATCGAGCGATTTCAGTTGTAAAAGAATTGTTGTTATTTCTTGAGGTCCCAAATTTGAGCAACAAGAATGTCAGGGATGTGAGCGCTCAATATCAAATGATTGAGAGTTATCTTTGAATATATACTACATTGTACTTATCACATATTAATAAAAAAATTGATTAACATAATTTAAATATGTTTACTGAATGATCCATAAATTTTTTTAGGGTGGACACACATATATTATCAATACAAAATTTTTATATATAGGTTATCATAATTTTTATATGTAGCTTAGCATAAATAAAATCTCAAGATAACACGATAAATAAAATTTATAACTATTTGAAGAAAATCTGAATTTCAGATAAGGAAAGTGTCCAACCAAAGATCAACCACCGAATATGCTCCATATCATATCTAAACTAACATTTAACGCATAACATAATAACTAAATTAATAGATGATTTCATGATAAAAGTAAAACATTATAAAATATAGAAACCAATTAAAATCTATACTATGGTTGGGAGACGTCCATAGCAATTTACTCAAAAGCAAAAGTACGTGGATGATATGAACACACCTTGTGGGCCGTCGGATACCAACGATGTTCATAATTTTGGGCCTCATATCCACAATAGTTTCTTATGGTCCACGATCTATACCGCCAACTCTGCGTATAAATTTGCAAAGTTTGAAGGCAGTAATTAGAAAATGGAAGGACCCGAGCGCAAGAAGAGGAAGATTCGTAATCCCCCGCTTCGCAGGTAGTGCTCTTTATT